GATTTAAAGGAAAGGTTGGTGGCAGCAAGAGTGTGTAGTGGCGTGGTGGGCATTCTGAGAGGCCTGAGTAGGAGGTGACCTCAGAGGGGCCCAGCCTCGTTACAATAAAGTTTTCGCTTAACAGCGATTTTCCTGGAACGGATTATCGCTGTTAAGCGAGGCACCACTGTAACATGAAGAAAGTATGGTCAAGCCCAAGATCCTGATGATGTTTTTGAGAATATTTAATTGGTCATTAGGTATTATGAGCATATTGATGTGGTCTAATTTTCTGGTAATATATATTGAAAATGTCCAAATTCTAAAGGAACATTGGCTCAACAAATACACTTTGTAGCCTTTCTTAGCTTGGCAGATTTTCTTTGTTCTGCCCTTTAAACTGTAGCCATTTTCATAGTTGTTTTGGTGTGCCCATATAGAAATGTTTCCATTGTAGCCAAAATGTATAATGCAGAAAGCATAAACGTTTTGTCAATATTTTAGATTCCAGCACAGCTCTGTAGCAATCCTCAATTAGTTCATCTAGGATGGGAGAAGAAAGTGATTAGATGGAAACACATAGATATAATTCTGTATGCCGTAATCTGATTAAGTTCAATTAAAATTACTGTACGAGTGCAATTACACCGTGAGGAAAACGCTAATGGATCTGCTGTCAAAGTGCACCCAGGAAGCTGAGTTTCCCTGGGTGAGTTTGCTTTTGCCAAGCACACAGGAGTCAGCAAAGACAGAGAAGGAAATTGGCTATCTGCCTTGTTTGCAGCTTGTTAAGCGAATTCTACTGTGACCATCCAGGTACAATGACATCAGAGCTACTTTAAAAAGCTGCAAAGAGCTACCTTAATAAGTTGCTGATTAGCAATTTTCTCCTCACTCTTTGCTGATTCCTTGCTCTTTTTCCTCGCCTGTGACTACAGCTATCCTAGAGCAACCATTCTTGATGGGGACTCTGCAAGGTTCCCTCTAAGATGTGCGCCTGTACACATGTGCCTGTTCCCTCTCTTCGTACAGACTTTCTCCTGCTCTGCATACTGACAGTGATAGTTTTCAGACCCTTTGGTTCTAATCGTGTCGGAACCCTGCATGAGGGGTGGATTGTGCGTGCAAGTGGTAGAGCCCTGCCCAGCAGGCCTGAAAATTAGAGAGAACATTTGAGCCCTGGAACATTTGAAAGGGGCTACAGACTGGAAACAATTCTTCACAAACTACCTTATAAGGTTTGTTATGTGACTTATTGAAACCTGAATTGGCTTTTATTTCTTTCATATTGTTTTTATGGCCATGACCACAAAAAGGTTGAGAACGGCTGCCCTAGAATACCTGAGGTTGTACCAAGTAATTTTTTTAAAAAGTGGTTTGGAGATAAGGGGTGCTCCATTGAGGGGAACTGACACCCCCATGAGTACCCCTTTGGCTTCTCTTTCCTCACCATGAACTAGGAGACTAGGAGAGCCAGCTTCCGTTGGCCTATTCAGCCTTGAAGCAGCAATGGCTTTGAAACCCATGCAAATTTATTCAGTTTGGACCAAAAAGAAGAAGAAGAAGTGGAGGACAAATTATAGATGGAGAGAAAACCTCAGGCTGATCTGCATTTACTTGCACATTGTGTAGTCTGCAAAAATTAATGTAGATCAGACCATTCCAACCTTGGAGCATTCCCCCAGATCAGAAATCCCACCTACTTTCTATACTTCATTTTTTCCTCCACTCAGTTGGCCTTCAGGTACAGCCAAGTTTGGCTGTTTTTTCAGAGTGGTGAGACAACAGTCCTTACTGAAATTCATTACTACGTATCCCCTTCGGAATGCAGCTGATGTCAGGGAGTAACAAAACCCTTCATGGTAACCCTGAACAACCAAAGCTACAGTAAACACTGAAATGTTACCACCTTCAAGATATTGGATTTTAAGAATGTTTAACAAGATGGTGCCTGCTTGCCAAGCATCATAAACATTTATTGTAGTCTTCTTAAAGCCTAGGAACCTAGCCATGGTCATCATCATAGTAACAAAATTGCTAAGTCTTTCTGCCCCGGTACATTTTTATATATGTATACATTTACATACATTATATCTATAATACATTTTTATATCTCTATCTCTATCTATCGATCGATCGATCGATCGATAGATAGATATAGATTGATCTGTCTGTCTGTCTGTCTGTCTATCTATCTATCTATCTAGTTATATATATAT